CGAACTAATTCCAGACTCTGAAAAATTGAAAAAATAATTCTTTGTTTTATTATCATATTGATTTCATGTATACCATTCAAATACTAAAAATGAATAAAATACAACTAAGCTCACACCAAAATACAGAGGTTAACATTTCCGCATGTGCTTCTAACATATAAAGTCTCATATACAGTCATATAAAGTCTCAAAATGTAAAGTGTAACATATCATCAAAACATAAAGAAGATCCATTATTTCTTACAAACAGGTCAAGTGTGAAATATAGTCTTGGATAAATGTGACCAGTTTGCACTGGTTTTCAATTCAATCCCCGTTTGTAACTGTAATGGTAAAATATTTCTGAGTGTATTGGCTTGTCATTTTATATACATTATGTTACTTTTGGTCATTTACCTGTATGTCAAAGCTTAAACTCAAAATGTTCATAGCAGGGGGACTTATACCTCTGCGCACTCAAAATAAGTAAAAAGAAAATGTTAGTTGCACTATGATTAGTATTTTTTTTTTATTAAAATTGCAAATACTGTACAAACATAATCTCAATGTGTAATTCGCTGGCTGATCTAAAAAAATCACAGTGTCATAGCAGTGTTGGCAGTATCTTTTGACAACGTGACAGCCATACTTCTTACTTGATGCTGAATGACTGTTGAAGGCTGGCTTTTGCCTGCTTTTCTGTAATTCTTTTCCAGGTTGAGGGAATATCAGCAGGCTTTGCATTATATTCTTCGGCAAACTTTTTGTTGAATGTTGCCATCACATATTTCCAGTAGTCTGATGCCTCGAGGCTTACATCAGGAGGAATTCTCCAGGTGGGGAAAATGTTACTGTACTCCTTGTAAGGGTGCCATTCAAAATTTGTTGCAAAGCATCGAAAGTGCTGGTCACTGATCACAAGAGAAGAGCATATATCCGTTACAAGTTTTTCTGAGTCATGAAACCTGAATTGCCCAAGACCATTGGAGCGATGAATTGAAGCCCAGTGCTCAGTATGGGCTTTTCCTCCCGCCTCACATGGAGCTTTGCAAAACGGACACTGTTTACCACATCCAATCAGTCTAGTGAAAATCTCATTCTGAGGCTTCAAATGAAGATGCTTCAGTTTCTTCTGAATGTTTGATTTTTTGAACTCTTCTCTAAGAGATTTTCCCATCTCATTTACACACTCTGTTAACCAGTCAGCAAACTGTTCCTGGTTTGCGTTGTTCAGAATCATGAAAGCATTAAGAGCATCCTGGGAAATGACCAGTTTAGCTCCAAGTTCCTGACACACATGATCAACAAATGTCTTCAAGTTACTCTTTTTCATTTTTGCCTTGTTGATAGCATCATTTATGCTCCTGATACTTGACTGAATATGATGAGCCTCAAACTCAGAAATCTTAGAAGCATTTGAGAAGTGAGTCACTATCTGGTCGAGTATCCACTTCTTCACATATTCCTCATATGAGCAAATGTAGCTCAAATAGTTTTCAAACTTATCCTTTGAAAGCAAATCCAGTAAAACTGAATACTGGAAGGATATTCTTGTGCTGAACTGTTGTTGTGTCAGCATCTCATCAATGATATCAGGACCCAGGGAACGGTTGATGAAGTCCTCGACTGCAGGCTTCAAGCATTGGCTGGTGAATTCTTCTGCCTTCTTCTGGCACTGGTCTCGTTTATGAAACACATCTTTAAAATCAGCACAAAACTTCCCTTTGTTTTGACTCAGACATCTGTAAGGATCATTCACATGTAGGAAGTCTTCGTGCATTTTCTGAAATACTCTGGCTGCAACTCCACAGATGTGTTGTTTTAGAGAAACTTCGAACTCAATGCCTGTCTTTAAATCCTGATTGTTGTGCAGCCTCTCATCAATCATGTGTAGCATCTCCTGGATGTAAGTATCAGAGTAATTGTTTTTCCTTTCGACTATTTCAGTCACAAACTGAATGCAACAAGCTATGATACTGTCAGCCATTTTTTGTGCCATCGTGATGTGATCTTGCCAGTTTAGCCATTTGCTCACTTTGTGTTTAATTTGATTGCAGAATCCCTCTTCTGTATATTTGAAAGGCATTTCGCCACAATCTTTCAGGCTTTTTTCACTCCACAATTCAGATGCATGACTCCCCTTGTATGACAGATTTGTTCTCAGGTGGTAGGATACATTGGTGAAGACATCTGTTGCCTTTTTTTCAGAAAAAGACAGTTTCTTCACTGTTTCATTCCACATCTTATCAAATTCCTTGTCCAGCTCTTGATCTCTCATCTGGACATTCTTCTTTCGACATTGATCAATCAGTGCGCACACTGCCTTTTCAATTTCTTTTGTGTGATTTTCCTTGATTATATCAAGTTCTCTCATTCCCTGCTTGATTTCTGCTGCTGCAGTGAGCTGATGAAACACAGTGTTTTCCATTTCTCGTCGAAGGCTCTTTGCACTGTTTGCAAAGTCCTCTTTGTATCCTTCTACTAAATAGATATGACCCTCTGTTTGCTTGAAGTACTTTGTCAAATTTTCAAGAAGCTCTGTCTCCCACTTAGACAGCACTGTGGAGGCTTCACTTTTCAAACACGTGATGAAACCTTTCATGTCAGCTATTTCACACTTTGCAGCAACTGTGCCAAAATTTGAAATTCTTGTTTCAGCATTTGTAACCCACTTGTACATGTCTTTTCTGAATTCCCATTCCCATTTGTTGAATTCTGTACATAGCCTCATGTATGCATCAGCCACTAGACTGTTTCTGAAGCTGAAGATGAAGTTTTCATGCTTTACTGCAGTCCACAGGCTTGACATCCACTCTTTAAACTCCAAGATATCATTAGCAGATGAATCACATTTTCCCAGTAGATGGATGATGTTTTTCTTGAGCTCATATACAGCTTCGCTGTACCCTGCATTGACTGGTGCCATTGGTGGGTTTCCATTCCAGAGTCCAGGAATGTACCAGTTCCCAGTATCTGGACTGTACTCCATCACATCTGTGAAGCTCTTGTTCTCCTCTTTCTTTTCCATTTTGGCGGCTGCTTGCGTCATCTCATTTAACTGTTGCAAGAGCAGTTTCCTGTCTCTTAAGTTTCTTCGTCATTGGCTTGAAACATCTGATACATTCTGATGAACAAACTGACATTTAGGTTTTTTGCCCAGCCTCTTCTCCATTCCTGAGATAAAGCGTGCACATACTATTTTGCAGGATGTCCTTCATTTCTGTTGAATTCTCCATTTGCAATATTAATGAATGGGTGCATTACTCAGCCAACGACAAGTGTTGCCAGCTTCATTGGTCAGTGCTCATCGGTGTCTAGTTGTGCAAGCTCTGGTGACTTTAAGCCCTCAGTGTCAATGATCACCATGAAGTCACAGTTGAGCACTTTTCTGACATCGTCATTGATTCGGATGAGCAACATAAAAGCACCTCGAGTGCATCGACCACTGCTGACTGCAAATTGCACTCCAAACATGGTGTTAAGAAGAGTGGACTTTCCTGTGCTCTGAACTCCAAGAACTGTGACTACCAGTATCTTGTTCTTGGGAGACACCAAGTCATGGAGCTGAGAGAGAACATCACTCACCCATCTGAGAGGTATGTTGGAGGCATCTCCATCTACAAGCTCAAGGGGAAATCCATCCAGCAGCAATCCTGCACAAAGTTTGGGCAGATGTTGCAACTGTTGACGTGATGGGTCTGTTTCTGGAAGGGAAACTGAAGCTTCGTAGATCTGACCCATTTCACGGAAGAAGTGTTCAGTCCCCAGTGAGCTGTTGGAAAGTTCTCTGTCAATGTCTTTAAGCACATTTTTGTTCTCAGAATTCTTGGATTTTTCTTTGTACTGTTCCCTGAGGAAAGACATTTTGTCTCGAGACAGGTTGTCAAGATTAATTCGAATCCACTTCAGGAAATAACATCTCTCTGTCCCTGGGCTTGATATTGCATGGATGAAACATGTCATTGCATTTGAAATGTCATAAGAGTTCTGTTTTTCCCGAAGTTTTTCTTTCTGTACCTGAAGATCACTTTTGTATTTTTCTATGTCTTCAGACCCAACTTTTCGAAGCCGAAATTCTTCCTTCTCTAAGCTCGTGAGGTCTTTCCATATTTGGCCTTGCAGGGGAAGCTGCTCTTCTTTGTATTTAAGGGTGTCTTGAATATCTGCAGTGATGGCATCTGCATTTACCTTGGCAATCTGGCACTCTGGACAGTCTTCATCAACCAAGATTCCCAGTTCATGGGCAATGTCAGCCATCTGCTCTATGCACATCTTCATCTTTGAGTTCTCAACTACATCGCTGACAGTTTTCCTCAAATTTTTGACGAAGTCTGCGTCATTCATCCGCCTAGTCTTCAAAACAATGTTGTTGTTAGTCAAGCCCAACTCAGTTGCAACTTGTTCTAAAGCATCTAGACTGAAGGTATTGCTTTGATGGTTACCTACCAAGAAGATCTGTGCCTTGTAGTTCTGGTTGGTCAGAAGTCTGCAACCAGATTTTAGACTGTCAAAGAAGACAAAAACTGCAGCAGATGTCTGACACAAAAAAGAAAACTGTGTTTCAAATGAAGTAATGTCCCCACGAAGGTTAGCTACAGCTATTGGCTCACTGAAAATATCAATGTTTTTGTTTCCACAAGGAAGGTACCAAGTAATTTCAGTCAGTCCATCAGATATTCTTCTTGGACTGTCGCCACACTCCATATCGTGGTGAACAAAGGTGTCATGGTACTGCTGAGAATTGCTCAGAAGCTTATTGAGAATCTCTGACTTGGACAAGGAGCATTCTCCCAGTCTCACAAAGGATATCATTGGAAGTTCAGAGAGAACAATTCTGTCTTCAATAAAACCCTTGGATTGTGAAAGTGACTGAGGTCTGTACTTTTTAACAATATCCCTCAAGGCCCAAAGCATGAGTGTGCACTGTTGTGTGTCACAATTAGGGAGCAGCAGCGGCACAGAAAACTGACACATAGACATTTTGAGTGCCATCTCCTGCTGTACAAAAGCATCAGAACACAGAAAGAGAGCAGTGATGATGTCAAGGGGGTTCAGCATGTCACCTGAGTTTGGACTATCAACCAGATTCCTCAGATCTAACTTCGTATTCCCTGATACAGCATCACAGTCAGATTCACATTCTGATGTACATTTTGCATTCCTGGCTGTCACATTAACCATCATTAGTTTCTTCAGAAAATACCATGGAAGATCTGATTGACACTTGGCAGTTACATCAGTAATGGTCTTCTCATCAATCTGAAGTATTCTGCTCAGTGATAACTTCTCTGTGTAGTGTTGCTCCAACCCCAGGTCTTCTAGTAACCTCTCTTGGTGTGTCTCTGTGGATATCAAGAAAATGGTAAGTAATATCAATATTTTCAATATACTAAAGCATGAATCCCTAATTAAAGGTGCACTGTGGAGCTTCTGACCTCTCGCAGCACTATGAAGCAGTTTTTTCACCAGTGGGTCTATTTTGTTAGTGCATGGAGATGCTCATGCACAAATGCATGCATGCATCCCCTAACAAACCCTTACACATGTCATTCAAGTAATCAGGATAAAACACTATACTATTTCACAGCAATCGCAGAAAAGCAGCAATATAATCACACTTCCTACCAACACTGGCACATGTAAACCAGCTGCGGCCAGCGTAAAGGTTCCAAGAGCAGAGCTAGATTTAGAAAACATCACACTATTCAAGTCCAAGGAATGTCAGCTTTGGTTTTGTAAACAATAACTGCTTAATCATGGCCATGGTGATTCTTACTCAAGCTGAGATTTAGGACGTTTATTAACATTGTAGCTGTTTGACCACTGAGCAATGCCAGTCCTTGCACAATGTACATGCACTCTACAAAGGTCAAGTGAGTGGAGTGGACTGCCTGAAATGCATTGCCTGCCCTGGGCAAAGCCTCATAGCAGGATGAAAGAAAGGGGGGCGGGGCTGGTCAAAGGGGGTTCAAGTACTGTAAAAATAAAAAAACTATTCCCTTTCCTTTTATGGCCACAAATTCTTTATAATTTAAGTAGCTTAGTTGACTACAAAAAAATAGCGAAAAAGTAATTTCATTACTTAAGTCAACATACACTTATGTAGTTAAATGTATTTCACTATTAACCCCAACCCTAACCCAACCATGCACACAGGAACCGCCCACAGCTGAGATGACACAGTGCTGTAAACAGCATTCAGGTGTCAGGGACCTTCCTCCTCTGAAGGGATCACGTTTTTCCCCCCAAAAATGCTCCCAACAAACAGATAAGACCGGAGCAGAGGCGGACAGGCCATGGGGACTAACGGTTCAAACGGCGATCGGCCAGTGGACACAAGTTTTTTAAAGTTATTACCGGCTCCGGTAGTGCCATCCATATTTCCATTCCCTGGAATTTCTTTCTTAGTCCGACCGTGGAGCCAATACTGCACTGGCTTTGCAAAATGAAGAGCCCAACTAAAGCGCCACAGCTTGACTCAGTACTGGCATTTCTTCTCTTCTACGTGTAAGTACCTTGATGGTTACATAATATTCTGTCTGTTTTCATTAGTGGCCGGCTACTGTGGGCATGATAACGTTAGCCGACTTATGAATTTGTTTGGCAAAAGTTGCTATCAATAGCTGGCTAACTGCTAGCACTCCTGTGAAGCATATCATGGCATTGGTAGCATGGGTTAATGGTTGTGGGTGGATTGTTTTTGTTGGCTGTTGTGTCTATAGGGTAACTTCATTCAGTTGTGCTTCTCCTTATGTGTTTAGTGGCCACTTAAACTGGACTTCATAACACTTCGCTGACACATTAACTGGGTGGGTGGCGAGGCCGGAGTTGTGGCCGATTAATAATTTCTTCTGTCTGAGATGATGGTGGTCTGGCAGTAACGATCCTGTCTCTGAGATGATGGTGGTCTGGCAGTAACGATCCTTTAGAGGAAACCTGTTTGTTCGTTAGTTGCTAATTTGCTTCAGCTTTAGATAGGGCTGGGCAGTTAATTGAATTTTATTTTCGATTACGATTTTGGCCTTCAACCCTTGTAAAAACAAGATAATCGAGAGAAAACGATTATTGAGCCGCATTCTGTTTGACAACAAATGTCATCCCCTCTACAAAAACGTTATCTTCTCCGTTCTCGGTACTGAAGAAATTTGGATAATAGATTTCGTATTTGTTACTGCAATATAAACGCTCTCTTGCACATTCACCAACTCCGTTTCTAATTAAGACATTCGTCTATGATGCATTGTTTCCTACGCAGAAGTTGATCTGCATCTCTGACCCTGTGTATGAGGGGCGGGGCAGCGCTCTCACACACCTTGGAGCATCGTGC